GGGCTCGGTGCAGCTTCTTGGGCTGGAGTCGGATCTTGCAGCAGACCAAGGAGTGGTCTGTGTCGCAGTCAGCGCTGTGGTAGGAGCGTGTGATGAGAATGCTGCTTAGCTGCTTGCGGCGGGTCAAGATGAGGTCCAGTTGGTGCCAGCGCTTTGAGCGGGGGTGGCGCCAGGACACCTTGTGCTGCGGCTTGCTCTGGAAGAAGCTGGTGGGGACACACAGGGCTTGAAGTGTGCACAGTTCCAGGAGACGTTGTCCGTTGTTGTTCATGTCACCCACTCCCCAAGGGCCGAGGCAACTGGGCCATGATGTGTGGTCGGATCCGACGCGGGCGTTGAAGTCCCCAAGAAGAACAAGTTGGTCGGTGGTTGGAACTTTCTGGATGGCTGCCCACAGCTGGTCGTAAAACTTGTTTTTCGCCTCCTGCGTAGAGTATAGAGTAGGGGCGTAGACGCTGAACAGGGTCACAGTGCCGACTGTAGTATGAAGTCGCAAGGTAGTCAGGAGTGACCCCTAGCGCCTAGCTCTACGCCAATTGAGCACTGACTTATCACTGGTATCTGCCACTCCTCGTGTTGTGTCGTCACATAATGACGCTGGAGTGTCCTCTCCAGGGCACAAGCCTGGGCAGGTGTGTATGGAGGACCTGGCGTTGCCCATGCGCTAGATCCCCCCTCTCCACGCCGTTGATGTTGTCCAAGGGAAGGGCAGGGGCCAAGCAGTTTGGCATCGACGTCCTCGCAGGAGTTGCCGGGACCCTGAGAGAGTTTCACAACGCACCACCTTAGGGACTCCAACTCCGGATTTGGCCTCTGGGTTTACTCCCGAAGGAAGATTGCCGACCAAGGCTAAGGAGCTCCTCCCACCCCACGGGTCGCAACTCGCGGCAAACGACTCGCCCCATTTGCCGCATCTTACGAACAGCAAGGGGGTGCTAGGGACCTATTCTACCCCGGGTCCCCACGGGGAATCATCCTCATATATTTGAATAAAAAAGTACATACCTCGGAGTGCACCTGTCTATCGGCAAGGGGCATCAGTGGAGCAGATTCGTTGCTTGGTTCAGCCAAAGTACCCCAGTGCGTAACGTCTTTCGTTGTATCCGCTAACGAAGTTTGTTTGAAAAATGCCGATCCCAAAAAATAATTGCTCCGTCGAATGGCGATTTTGTCGGCATGTTTTTTCACTTTTGTTGCATGATCTGTCAGTGCCACGCATCCACGGGAGCCATAGTTAATTAAGTCACTACAATACACACAATAAGC